GAAGCATATGATTATTTCTGCTCGTTAGTTTCAAAACCCGGTAGTACACTCTACGGCGATGTCTATTCCGTCGTTAATGGCGTCGTTGCGTTAACGTTGATTCGTAAGGATGAGAACGGAGACGAAATCGATATCAATCGATCTCTCATCGAACTCGGATTCGCTACAGAGAAAGAGGAGAATTATTATTCGCACGCAAATCACGATCTTCGGTTATACAATGCCGATTTGTCGGACGAACAGTGTCGTTATTATGAAACGATGCAATACAATCAAGACGCTAATGTACCGGATAATTATCCCGAACCCCCTCCCAGTTCCGAGTGTACGAGCAAAGTGAATTTACGGGGCCCGTATTCGCCTTTGGAAATCCAATTCGTCAATCTTACCGAAGCTGGTAAAATTAAGAACGTAAAAATATCTCCGTCCTCCATGAACTGTGTCCTCTTGGACACCGAACCCGAAGACTCGTCTCAACGGCTTTTGGTAGCGGGATCCATTTCTCAAGGTGCCAATAGTCACAATTTGATGTTATACAATACGACGTTGATGCCACGGATTCCTGGATTAGCTGCTCTGATCGTATTAATATTTACACCACACATGGAATTAAGACGAAGTCCTTTAGGAACTTACTATACCGGCGTCTTATGCGGATTGGGTTACGACTCTGTCACCAAGGCGAGCATATTTCCAGAACACGATATAGAACTTCTCTTCGATGTTGAGATTAATTTGGAAGACTTGCAATATGTGAGCATACTTTAAATATTTCTTTCTTTTTCAAATTTCAAATCTTGATTCGACTGACTAATAATAATCATCTTTATGCTTCTGTCGATCAGATAAACCGATTGCGTCATTGGATCGATACGGCAATGCAAACTAATCTCTCGTCGGAAAGTACACATAACATGGAAGAGATAATTGTCTGTCAAAATAGGATAAAGGATGCCTTGCTGAAATTGTGTACTTCGAGGAAACGGGCATCTCAAGCTCTTGAATTAACTCCAAAATTCAGCAAGTGGAATTTGTACGACGAGTCTTTGTTGCTTTCGCCTAGCAATCCATCTTTGCTTAAAAAAAGTATATACCCATTGCACAAGGCATTGGAATTGGAATCTCATAAAGATTTGGAAGACGTCGTAAAGAACTTGAAGTATTTACGTACATTGATAACTGAGTAAGTAAATTATTTGATGAATAAAGGCAAATAAGCTGACTGTTCAATGTCCTACTCAATTCATTCGTTTTTGATTCATTACAGAGATTCGAGGAAATTTGAAAATACTAACATTCCTTGCAAATTATGTAAAGTTACGTTACCCGACGTGTTTGATGTACGAAAACATTTGTATACGGAAAAGCATAGATTCAACGAGCAATCATTACGTATCGAGTTTTGAAGTACACTGTTGAATATACGCAACGCCCAACGGAACAACGGACGGATACAGGGATAAAGAAATTCTGTTTTCACGTAGCGTACCAGTATTACTTACTACATACAGTATTAATTAGACTC